TTTAGGCAATAGGTAACTCAATTTTTGCACCACAGATGGATGTCACATTTTGATTTCATTTTGCCTACCATATTTAACTATGTCTTCTTTGCTTTGAACCACATGTGAAGACCTCCTATCTTTAAATCTAAATAAATTAAAAACCTCCAAATCTATTTCCAGTCCAGTTCAACTGCAGTGAATTGGCGGTGGGGCGAGGGGTGGAAACAGGTAATTTTAAAACAGGGAATTAGACTACATTGATTTTATTATTATTGCCCTTCAACATTTTTTAACAGGTAACTGTGGCTTATGAAAAAGAGAATCTATGCCACACATATAGTCACAAGCAAAAGTAAATAGGCAGGTTTAGGTTATCTGTTTTAATGCACAAAGATATTGTTAATATATTGTAGTGAGAGGCATATACTGTTTTATCCAGATTAATTTTCCTCTCATTTATTGTGCGCTGTTGGGTAAAACTTCACAGGTATTCAGGCTCCCCTAGATCCTGGTTATCATAAATAAAGGAAAGTTTGGCCCTTAAATAAGTCATATTTTCAGGTTAACAACCACTCTGTTTTTCTTTCCCTCTTCTCATAAATCAATTATTGAGCTCTATTTAATTAAGAACAGATTAGAAACATTTTCATTGTTTTTTTTTTAAGTTTCCTTTGTACTGAAGTGCTATGGAGTTAAAACACCAAGCACAAAAGTGCACAGCCAACCATGACTAACTGTGTAAAGCAAATAACAAGCTGTATGATCAAAAACGAAAGCCAGTGCCATTCATGTGGAACAATAGAAATCATACCACCAAAACACTTCATACACATCTCATCTACCAACGTACACACTTGCTCAGCTCATATCACGCCTCAGGAATGCAGTTACAAACAGAGGAGCCCTGCACGAGAGGTAAATACCCGGAGGGGAAACCGCGTTTCCCTCTGCCTCGTCCTGATGGTACCTTGCCCCTTCAGCTTGAAGCCCATCGGCTGTGGGGAGGGAAAGGCAGAGCAAGCTGTTACTCAGGACATGCTTCCCTCCTTCCACCTCTTCTGGAGATGTCCTTGGGGAGCTATGCCAAATATATACACCAAACATGAATGCTCAGTGCAGATAACTTGCCATGTCTGAGATGGAAGACTGGTGAAGGACAGTTCCTATCCTTTCCCACGTCCCCCGAAAGCACCCAAGATCATCATGCAATGTTGTATCCGGGGCTCTGACCTAGTCCCTGTCTTTACCATCATTAAAAATAACCTTCCACCCTCTGCTGATTTTTCCCAGGGGTTGCAAAGGCCATTCTTATTTGAGCAAAGAAAAGCTTACCTGCTTATGGGGTGCAACTGAGAGTGGGGAAATGCTGGACATTTCTGGGAGAGGATAAAGAGGTTTTACCAAGAGTATTATTTTTTTATGTAGTGTTTTGAAACAAACAAATGAAAACCCAACCCTTTGCCTATTTACTGGAAAACAAATCCAGCTTAAAATTTTTGCTTAACTCTCACTGCAGGACGTGGGAGACTTTCTGCTGTTTCGTGGGGAATTGGAGCAGGCCAGAGAAACGAGAACAATAAGAAGGAGCACCCACCAATAAAATGCACGTAGTGAAGTACTGTCAGAGAGATCAAGGGCTTTGCATACACTTTTAGGAAGGATTCGATTTCATCATCACTTCAGGCCAAGGAGGAGGAGATTTCATATTCCTGCAGTCATTCATCCTGACTAGTCCCCTACTGATTTTTAAAATCCGTTGTGGCTCAGCCCTTTCCTCATGCTTCAGAGGGGAGAGATGGCAGAGGGAACAAGAGCTCCTGAGGTTCTTCTCTACTCATTATCCAAAGACCCTTTACAAATGCTGGTGCTGAGCGCTAAATCTTTCAAGTCCTACGACTATGACTTCGATCAGGGGAAATTACATGCCAACATAATTGTCTCTTGAATTCAGTGGGGACTGTAGCTGAGGGGTAGATTCAGCGCTGCTGTAAATGGAAGGTGAATGAGGGGAAGGCTGGGGACAGAAATCTGCACCCTCTTCTCCAGCTCTTCGGCCCCAATGCTGCTGTGTTTTGCATTGGTTGGAAGCAGCACATCTGTCCCTTTGGAAATCGGTGCTACACGTGTCAGTGCGAGAACAGAAACTTCCAGAGTTTGTTGAGTTGTTGACAGGCCAGTGTGCAACTGGAGATGATAACTCAGACAGAAAATTAACCGTGCGAATTCTCATCCTTCGAGTTATATCAGATACCCCCATTCACTCGATGATGAGCCTTTCCCTGTGCAAGTTCTGAGTTCACTGACCCCCAGAAGGTGTTGAGAAGATTTTCTGAGATGATACCTGAGGGTCCTATTTTCTTTTTAGCGTGATTCCTCCCAATTAATGAGTGTTATAGGTTCGGAACTGATGACAATTTGGGTTCTGAGTCACAAAGAGTTGAACACAGTGCTCACCACAGTGCCCTCAGTAGCCCGCTAGATACGCAGACTGCCTATCCTAAGCCTTGTTCCTTATTCCTGCCTTACTCCTAAGCACCAGTTTGCACCTCAGATCCACGTCTGTAAAATATGGCATTTGCTCATCTTTGAAAGAGCTCTGAGATCGAGGATGAGAGGTGTGGGATGCGTGCTAAACAGGGAACTATTCTTGGTGCTTTGCAAACAGAAGTTTAACAAAGTTTCTACCTCAAAGAAAGTATAATCTAAAAACTAAAAAAAAAATAAATAATTAACTGCTGTCAGAAAAGTAAACTCAACCCTTTTAGAACTAATAATAACATTCAAACATATGGATACTCTTCCAGTGTCCATCATTAGCTAATTATTAAACAAAACTAAATATAAAGTTTGCTCTGTTCCACATGTCCCTGTTTACAAACTCTTATCTAATTTTAGGAAGCAAAATCAGGAAAAAAATCAGGTTACTCACGGAATATAAAGTGGTTTTTAGATCACTGGACTTCAGCCCTCCCCAGCAGCTTTCAGATGCAACCAGTTCAGGAACTAAGAGGAACAGCTGTGAAGCAGCAAGACCGAAGATCGGAGACAAGTCCACTGGCTGCTGCAATGTCTCTGGTGCAAGGATTTTCCTTAGGCTCTCAGGAGGTTGCTAGTGATAATGCCAAACTACATTTAAAGTGCATTTCTGCGTATATGTGTGCGAATACTGCAGGATATTCTTTGAGAAACTTCTCTTGCATGATATGCAGGTGGACAGCCCGAACCCCCCTAATTGAGACAGGAGTCTTGGAGTGCCTCAGTGACACCAAAATGACATCACGGAGTTCAGGCACAGTGTCGTGATGAGCTCCATACTGAGGTCCCTGTGATCCTTGCAGGGAGCAGGAACTCTTTCTTCAGATTTATGCTAGGACAAGCCTTTATTGGAGCCTCTTTGGTAAGGCTTTTAACCTGTGGCTTGGGAGGTGCTTTAAAACGGCCACCTGTGCGCACTTCACCTCAGGCTGCACAGAACTTTCTGACTCGTGATTGTGACAATTATTAGTCAACTCTTCATTTAGAAAATTGTTAGAAACCCTGCTACTATATGACCCTCCTCCCCTAATCTGCTCCATGTTTGTACAGTTCTGAGAAAAAAGAATGAGTCCTCCAACTCAGTTACTTGCCTTGTTTTTTTGTCAGAGCCAGAATCAAGCATGCTTCTGACCAGCAACAGGACCTGAGATGGTAACAGTTTCATACAGGCGCATCTCTCTCTACTGTTGTCTTGACTGGAGGGGTTGAATGAGCCATCTTGGGCCTAGACAGCTGGTTGCATGCATTTGGTTGCAATTTGCTCCTTTAGAGTGAGGTGAGCATCTCTTTGCTGTTCTCCAGACGCACTGGAGCAAGCCTGGCACTTGGTGCAGAGGCCACCTGCAACAAAGCAACTAACCTGAAGTTTACTGGGCACGGTTTTTTGGCTGTGCCTAGAGAATGGCACCAAGTATTAAGCACCTTGAGCTTCCGAGCAAACCAGTACAAAGGGTTTCTTTGTAGTGATGGGACAGAGAACACACCACGGAGGTTCTGTAAATGCAGGGAGACCACACTGCCAGTCTCCTTGTCACATTCTCCCCAGCAAGCTCAGCCTCTTGCCCTTAGGACAGAGTTGACAAGGAAGGGGTTTGCCACTTCCTTTTGGTCTTGTTCTCCATGGGAGGGGACAGCAGTGCCATTTGTATTCTGCGTACTGGCAGGTACTGCTAAAGCACAGACTGAGCCCATTCCTGAGCGCCCTGAGCTGGCTGTTGAGGTGAAGGAGCAGTAGAATTTCTGCTCCGGTTGCCAATTAGGCAGGTAACATATCCCTGAGAAAGATGGTGTGCAAGAGCTAATTATTTTTGTGTGCCGCTGCCTGAATAACTTGAGTCTGCCAGGTGCCAAATGCCTCTGGAAATCTCCCCGTTCTGTGGGAACTGAAAGGTTCAGCTCATTCCTGACTCTTTTAAGGAGTCAGACCCTAGAAAACTGCAAACTTTTAGCACAAAGGCTTCTCATCTGCTGGGGGGAAGAGTGAATCACACCCATGAGAAACATGAAGTAGAAAAAAGGACTCAAATTTTTAGCGACCACTGATTCTGTACATGATGCATGCTACCCTGAAAGCGTGTCCCAGAGGTGAATCAGTGCCACCGTACCTTGCACCATTAAAACATTGCTGTTTGTGCACTGTCCTGCGTGACTCACTTGGGTTGTGATCCCTGGTTTACATGCTTGTGCAGTGTTGTCATGACAGTTATGCAGTTGGTAGGAGCTTGATGTGTGTGCTTATTGCATTAGGTTTACATAAAATAAAATATCTGTATTTTGGATAAATAAATGACTTAAATGCCAGGATGACTGGTCTAACACAGTAAGTTTGTAGAAGGTGGTAGCATGGGGAAAGGTAAGTTGAATCCTGGCTTTGTGTGGTAGCCAGTCATTCGTTAGTTTATAATTTTAATTTTTTTTTTTTCCACTTCATTCTCTTAGTTGTCTACCTGTGAATGATAAAGAAAGAGACGACACTGTCATTGTACACATGAACTGATGTGGTTTTACTGCATTTGGCCACACACTTAAAAGAAATATGCTGGTACAGAGCAGCCACAGGTCTTACCTCTGCTGCCACTCCTTTCACAAAAGAATGATCTTTACATCAACAGTTTCCATCCTTGGCTTGGTAACGTTGCAGTCCTACCTTTTGCTCTTGGTCCGAATGCAGAGATTAAAAACACTCAGTTGATGCAAACGGTGGGTTGATACAACACACAGAATGGGGTGTAGATGTGCTTCACACAACAGAGAGCAGAATTGAAGGGGAAAATGTTGCTTGGAGGCAAGACGCCTCTTTAATTGATGATGGCGAGGAAAATCAAATACCATATCTGCTTTTTTCCTGGAGTATATCGAGACTGATCATAACTAACATCTGTTCATGGTAAGCAAATACTTGTCATGATTTAAACTTCTGTTTGCATACAACTCTGAGTAGTGCATCTTAAAGTCATACATATTCATATAGAATGAAGAATGCATAATGTCTGCATAAAAAGATAAGCTGTATGACTATATATGAAGACAACAACTACAATTCTCACAGCACTGTCATTGGTTAATTTTTAAATATTCAAGCATTATTTAAAAAACAGTAAGCTGAACTTAAAACTACACTACGAAAAAATTGTATAACTGAACCAATGCTGACTTGTTTTCCTCAATATTAATAAATTTTAAAGTTTCCCTTTTTTTTTCCTAACACATTTTGTTAATTAGTTGTTATTTTAACCTCCAGTAACATGATCAGACTTCTTCTGCCTCTGGGCAATTGCGCTATGCTCTGATCTCGAGTTCTAAGGGAAATGTTCAATTTTATTTTTTTCCACAGTTGAATAAACAATACCATGTATACTATCTCTTGTGTTAGAATAGTGTTGTCTTCACATAAGACTCAAATAATGGTATTAGTCATTCATTTCCTTGTACACATACGCCCTATTGCGTGTTGACAGGTTTATAAGGATGCAGTGGCAGCCGTGGGTGCTGGGAAGCTCCTAGACGACAGCCTTTGAATCCTTGCAGTCCTGAGCAATGGTGCCTGAGTTAGTCTGTTTATTGTCTGCTTTCTCTCCCAGATGCTTGACTTGTCTGAAAGATTAATACATTAACAAGAGTGGTAAGGTCCAGGGTTGCACATCTTTAAGACATGTTTATTACCAGATGGCACATGAGATTCAGAGGTCACTGTGGAAGGTAACATTTTAAAGTGAAACAACAATATTTATGTTCAAATACTATGCTGATGAGATCATATGGAAAAATGTTTCTGATTAAATTAGTTTATAAATAGCCACAATATATCTGTTGAAAATTCCAAATGCCACTTTTAGTCTTCTTTCTTCGATTCTATTACTTCCTAATTTATTTAGTAACACAAGACTACCTTCTTACATAAACAGACTAGCAGCTGGAAAAAAAATCTATACTGGACAGACAACTCCACTTTCTTAAATAATGGAAAATCCTGTGTGAAACCTGGCTCTATTGTTTACTACTTAAAGCTAATATTCCATATAAGAGTTTTTTAAGACCAGAAAGAAATTTTAACTTTTAAATTCTCTAGGCTAAAATTCATCTTGCAGACATAGGGACTTACTGGCAGACAGCTATCCCTGCTTACAGGCAATATCACGTGCTACAACACATTTGACAAAAATCACGTTATGCTACTTACACAGAACTCGTACAATGAAAAGAAAATCCTTTTCTTTAGGCTTGCCATAGGAGGGCTGACTGTCTCATAGCTCATTAGTAAACATTATCAGTAACGCTAAACCTGAAATCTTGTTTATCCTCTCAAATTGTCACAAACTGTACGTAAATTCCAGAAGAAATAGTTTTGCACAGGTTTAAAAGGGCAACTAAGCTCTTAATTAACATTTCTTATCTACCATGCCACACAGACATTAAAATGCAGCGGATTTAAATGGTACTTACTTTTCATGTGATCCGTTCTCAACTTTCATAGCCCCTTCCACTGGATCCAGTCCTTGTTCTGAAAACTGTTTCAAGGCACTTAATGCTGCCTAAAGAAAAAATGAGTTGTCAAAAACCCCGCTGACACAACTGTATTAACACCAAATGAAGGAAGGTGTGTATTTTGATATTCTAGTTTTAAATAATTTCCTGTATATTGAAGCCATTTAGGCTACAGAGCTAACAGAGTGGGTACATAACAGCTCCGTGATAAACCGCTGTGCTTGTGCACGGGTTTGAGGATATCTTCTTCTTCCCGGTAGATGAGCGACTTCCATTTGTGTTAATGCAAGTTTCATCACCTACATGAAGAACATGATATACTTCCAAAATTCTTGCCTGTAAAGTCTCTTCAGCTTCGCCATGTGCTTTCCTAGAGCCCATGCTTTCCAGAGCTCTTACAAACTCTTGTCTTGTAGATGATTGCAGAAGGTGTGAGCAACGGGAGGAGGGTCAGCAGGACAATCCCGACACTCCACAGCTGGATCTTGAACGACGCAGCAGACTGATGTTCTCTACACATAGGTAGAGAAGTGCACTAAACAGGGTGAGCCAGCATGGGATGATTATGAAGCATCAGCAACAGAAGAATGATCAATTTTCAGCTGACATTTTTCTGCACAAGTGCATTCTTTATTGACCAACTTCTCTCTCATCTTCATGAGTCCTGCTTTAGGACTCAGAATTGTTCTTGTCTCCTCCCTAACTGCTTTGGTAAAAGACAAATGATTTTTTTTGTAATTAATTTAGCAAAGGTTGATTATGAAACTCTCAGACACCATGTGGCTGACTTTGAAAACATATCCAGCACAATAAAACCGTTGAGGTCAGTTCTGTCTTGAAGGTGAAATTTAAAGTAGGACTGAAAAACGGATTTTTCTCTTCAATCACTCCCACCTAAGATGCATTCAGAACTAATCAGAGGAGAAAAAAAGGTAACTTTTCACAGACACTGTCACCTAAGGTAACACCTCAAACACTGGAACTGACTATAGGCCCTCGGCGCTGCTCTTCACAGCGAGGCAACAACTGCTGCTTAGAAAATTGGAAGTTGCTCGCTTCTTAATTGTTAGGACAGAAAGAATCCATGTATCTGTCTTCATTTCTTCATTTTCCATTCCCCTCGGAGAGCAGGGACTCTGTCCGGAACAGGAGCTGCCATTGTAATGAAGTACTAGATTTGCTTTCGTACTAATTCTTTGCCTGGATTCTCTCAACAGCTCTTGCCCTTGAAAGGTATGTTTATAGAACTTAAATATTATTACACAATGTGTATTTTGGTGAGATGAATAACAGCACAAAAATTGCCAAGCTGCTCTAAAGTAAAAGATCATGTATCCCAGATTTATCTATAGTAATGACTAGCTGCTAAAGCTTCAGAAGGCTGTACAAGGTACTCCCACCCATAATGCATGAAGGTGGGATCTTTCTAGTCTGTGAAGTATTTTTTTTTTTGCTCTAGCAAACATATAAAAATCTGATCATTTTATAAAGTGTCTTGCTAAACCTCAGATTATCACTGTTACTTACCCATCCCCTCTACCTTTACTATGTGTTCTGGGGCCCTTGTATCTGACAGCTAACCTGCTCTCTACTTGCTCCTTCTTCCCATCCATTGACATAATTTCCCCCTTCATCTTAAAATCTCTGCTGCCTGCATCTTTCTTTTTATCCTTTTTCCATACTATGGCTAAGGGCTGAGCCTCAGCTTCACATCAATTACAACTTCTCCCATTACAGGATCTTTCACTTTTATCACCCATTGAGCTCCCCAGTGAATGAATTCTCCCTTTCCTCATTTCTTCTGGTTTTCTCAACGTTTTGATATATTTGCATTTTTCATAAGACAGTTCTTTCTCTACCACCTCATAGTGTCCCCTGTAGTTTTAGACATGCGTTCTCAACTCCTATAAGCTCTAATCACCATCGGCCTTTCCATCCTCGATCTTGACCGCACAGCAAAATCACTGTTTAACCCAAATAATTTCTCCCAGTGGCAACAAGGGTTTTCATCTACTCTCAACTTCTCTGTTTGTTCCAGTAACCCAGCACATTTCTTCACCCCAGTTTCTCTCTTCTCCTCTTCTCCCTGGGGTCCTTTTCATCACAGTGCAAGCACAACTCATCATGTGAGGAAGGGGAGCGATTTGGGCTCCTCTGTGTCCTTGCACAGGACTGCTTCTCTAGTTGGTCATGGGGTAGCAACTGTGAGAACCAAATAATTCAATGGGTAGGGACTGGCACACAAGAATCTCCTGTCTTCTCATATCCATTTTTGCTGAGGTACATTAGCAAAACAATCAGGTTCTCCTTTCTTCTTACGTATGGTAATCAAAAAACCATTACCAGGTAGCATTGTAAGCAGGGAAGGAAGCTGAGACATCTGCTCCTCCTACACAGTTTAACTACTACCTCATCTGTTTTTGAACCCACCTTGTTTACTTTTTTATATTCATTTGTAGCTTCCGGGTCTGATATGTGAACTGTAAACTTGTTGTGGAAGAACTATTTGTTCAGGTTATTTGTTTGTACAGTGGCTTGGACAAAAAGGCCCTGATCATAGTTGGTAAGCAGTAGAGCCAAGTAACGTTTCGTTCAAGATAAGATCACAGGTTGATTATACGATATGCAGAAAGTCTGATCTTGATCAGTGGTTGCTGAAATCCCCAAATCATCAAGAGGTTAATTAGACCAGTCCAAACTTCTTAATCCCTTTCTAGAATTGCTCTGAATATGAGTACATCTGTTACTTACTACTGTTTTACTCATAGAACTGGCTATTGCAAGGCCTACCACATAAATTACAGAGCAGTTTTCAGGGTTGCTTTCCAGAAAAAAACTGCTTTGGAACTTCCTGGAGGAATATTAGCCACTATCTCAATAGAAACAGATCACGAGGGCATCTCGTCTCTTCTGACAGCAAGGGAAGAAGTACTACAGTGTAAAATAATGAACTCTTTGCCTGTAAGCATGGATCATTACTATAGGGGTGTCAAGGAAGTAAATATGGAACAATCAGAGGAAACATATAAAATGAAGGTATGCTTCAAGGTGTTTAATGATAAGCATGTTTAATACCAACACAACATCCAAATCCTAATGCTTGTAACGTGGTGCCATCTCATTTCTCCATCTCACCCTTCTTCAAGCCATGCCCTTCCCAAACTGAAGTGGGATATAAAAGATAAGATGTCAGATCTATTGTATTTCTGGAACCAAATATCAGAGGTGGGAACTGGCAGGAAAGCAGTCCTGTACCTGTATCCTTGATCTTCCAAATAGAGGTGTTTCTGTGAGCGCTGTTGAAGAGCCAGCCCTTTACACTGTCTCACCTTCGCTGCTCTGAAAGCCAATCAACTCTTCAAGCTCTTCTCACTACTGAGTCCCCACTCCCCACATCTTATGCCTCGATCCCACATCTTTCCCAAGCCACTCCAGTATCCCTGGTCTTCCCCTCCCTACTACCCACCCCAGAGCTCTGACTTCTTTGACAGCAGAGGTGATCACCTCTACTTCTTCACAAATCTCCCCCTACCCAGGCTCCTACTGTTTTTTTCCTACTCCTAAAAGTTCTCCCATCCAGGACCCCCAGCTGCTTCCACTTCCCAGAACTAAACTTTCTTTCCCCAAGTCCTGCCACCCTCCGACATTTCACAGTCCCTCTTTATCTTTCAGTTTCCGAACGTGTTCTGAGTTTATATGAGTTCTGATTTATTTTTCATGGAATCATGTGTTTCTCTCCGTAAGAAGATGCCAGTGGGGGAAGCCTAATTACTTATATCGCAACTGTTGCAACAACATTTGAATTTGGGGAAAGGTTCTTACTTTTTTAAAATGTCCATTCATGCAATGTGACTGAAGGGCAGTAGACAAATGGTAGAGAACGCCTTGCTGTGTCTTAAAAACTCCCTCTTTTCTTTCTCCCATAGCCTGCTTACGGTTGGAAGGATGAGCAAAGCTGAGAGAAACTGGTAAGGAAAGAGTACTTTGGACCTTAATAGATGTCCTTAATGTTTCCCCTCTCCCCGTTGTGCCCCTAGACAGACATGAAGATGCTGGATTCAGGAAGGAAGCTGGTAGCTGAGAGGCTGTGACCTGAACAGTCAGCACAGAGGCCAAGTAATCTGCAGCAAAGAAGAGTTACAAGCAGACCCTGGGCTAATTTAATCCATGATTCAATTCTTAGTCCCAACAGATTTACACCACTTGGCTTAAATATAACTTGTGAATGGCAGGTAACTTAGGTTAAATTAAAAGGAAAGAAAATAATGGAACATTTGACAGTGAATCTGGTGAACAATTTCCTCTTTTAAAGGCTCAACACTTCCTTCCATTGATATTTTTCTTACAATAGAGCATCTGCACAGATACAGAGAAATTTTTCTTTCCCCCAGAAGATTTTACAACTGTTTTGTGAGTGAAGCCCCACAGGTTACAGAACAGATGTCCTTACACATTTCTTGTATCACTTGTTTTCTGTGTAGCTACAACAGTGCCAAAAATACGATGCCAACAGGATGCACCGCACTGCTAGCTGTTTGTCTTGGCTGCCATTTCCATTATTAGTATGTGTGTGTATCAGGATGGGGATGGATGTTTCCAGTCATTTTTTTAGCTTTCCTCAAGTCAATTGGCAATTAGTAAATAGCATTGAAATTTGTGAATATTCTTCCTGTTTCTCGCTCTGGGGATTAAGAGTGTTATAATGACAATCTGGTAATATTAGATCATTCTTTTAGCAAGAACAGCAGACAGGCACTACACTAGCCCATGTGCACTTAAGACCACATCCTCATGATAAAATTTTCACGTTTGTTTTAGCACAGTATGTGGTTTGTGTTTTTCCTCTTAAATCTATATTACATTTCAGATTATTACATGAAGCTGAAAATTGTAAAAGTTTGTTGTTCTCCATGGTCCTTCCAGTTGACTTTACCAAGGACGTCTGAGACAATCCTAATAAACACACTGCTTGATATTGTTAGTTTACTGGTGATATGTCTCCTAACAGTACTTTTAAGTATATAAAAAACATATTCAGCTTGACCTT